ATAAGCTGCTATATTTTTTAAGTGTTAGTACAGAGATATATAACAAATTCTGGTTAGAATTCTGTATATTTTGCAGGGGACTTGATCTAGGATGTTCAAGAAGTTCAGGGTGTTCAAATAAATAAACACTCAATGACATGTGGTACTCGCCTTCAAGGGTTTTCAATCAGTGGAGGTAGACAGACATGTAAAAAATGTCAGTAATATGTGGTAGATGAATACTTAGCCCGGTCTGGAAGTCAAGGAATGGTGCTTGGTTTTCATGTAGAAGTAGCAGCATGGCCAAAAGACATGGTGGCAAGAAACAGCGTGAAAGATCATTTTAGAAAATACCAGAATGCTTCATTTAAAAAATTAAATATTCTCTCTATAGGTACATTATTATAATGAAATGTTTGGTGTATGGGAGCCTTTGCTTGAACCCTTAGAAATTGACCAGACTGAGGATTTTAGACCATGGAAACTTGGAATCAAGGTATATATACACATATATATATATATATTAAAGACTTTATTTTTTGGAGCAGTTTTAGGTTCACAGCAAAATTGAGGAAGTACAGGGATTTCCCATATATCTCCTTCCCCTGCACATGCATAGCCTCCCCACTTTCAACATCCCCCATCAAGGTATATTTGAAGTCTGAAAAAAAAAATTCAAAAATTGAGGATGTCCATACCATAGTAAACATTTTAATTTTAATCACAACAAAGTTCAGGTTTTCTCATGAAGAGCCTTGCCCACATGCTTCCCTGCTTCCCTGTTTGACCTCTGAATGTAAATTTCAAATCCAAGGCCAGTGCCATCTATGCTTCTAATACAAATTGTTATCTAATATTTATTACATGGTAGACATTGTTCTAAATAATGTATTTTTGCTTTAATCCTTACAACTCTCTGAAGAAAATACAGTTTTTATCCCCATTTGAACATATGAAGGGACTAAGACTAGAGAAGTTAAGGGATTTCCCTGAAGTAATAATAGCTACAAAGTGGGAGAGGTGGGATGCAAATCCAGCTGCAGAGTCCCCACTCTTAACTAGTATAATGCCTGTCGTCTTCATGCAAGTCGTTGTCTATTCTGTTTCCTTTGTTCTCTAAAGGGTGTGTATGTATATAAAGAAGAACATATGTTATTATTTGTTTGAAATATATTGTGAATTTATGTAATCATGTGAAATGAATCAAGGCCTTTAGATAGATGAGGTTGTGTTTCTGGAGCAATAGTCTGCTGAATTACCAGTATGTCTCCAGCCTAATAATGATTCAGTCAACCTGAAGACAAATTTTCAGTGGCTTAAAGCCAGTTAAAGTAACAACAAAGGTAGCTAACTTGGCATTTCCAGCTTTTTGTATTAGGTCATTTAATTTAATTTTCCAGATGTTAGTGGTGAAGGATTTGGATAAAAGAATGCCTTTGATGGTTGTTAGGTCAGAATATACATGGGCAGTGGATCTATTAATCCTAAAAAGAGGTAAATCGTATTGATTCTCATGAGTCGTAGGTTTACTGCACTGTTCTTTCTCTTTTTTCTTATTTTGCAAGAACCTAGGTTTCTGTTTTTTGTTTATTAGCATGACAAATAGACAAAATTACTTTTCATAGTCTGAATTTCTAGGTTGCTATGAAGTATGTACTTTTTATTTAGGTTCAGATGCCACATATGCTTAATAATTTTAGGGTTTTTTTGTTGTTGTTGTTCTAATTTGTGCCTGCCATTTTACTATCACTGAGGATAGGAATTTTTCCTCTAATACTTCTCCTGTCCTACATGACCTTAGTTGGATGATGTCCAAGTAATTTCAGTAAGGCAGTAACAGATAAGATTTATTGCTCCAGAGTGGCCAGTTAGCTCACTTAGGAGAGTGTGGTGCTGTTAAAATCAAGACCAAGGGTTCAGATCCCTATACCAGCCAGCTGCCCCACACCTGCAACCCCCCCAAATTATTGCTCTCTCTAATGTTATTATTGGGATTTGTCTAAAGCTTGTTTTTACTTTGTAGAATAAGTTCTGTTGTGCTTCTGGGAACAGTTTTTTCTTACCTTTTTATAATTTATCGTTTTAGATGAAAAAGAAAGCCAAAAAGGCCATTGTTGAGTCAGATACTGAAGAAGAAAACTACAGAGTGCCAGAATTTAAAA